AATTGTATTCTTCTGTTACAAGAACATCTTGAAGCCTACGTCCGTTGACTTAAACAGATCGCGGAATCACGTATTTGTTGAATGTGAACTAGTCTTCTCCAGGTTCACCTTCAGTTTTACTTCGATGCTGGCGTCGTTCAGCTATTTGATCCTTTGTTTGAGTTCTTTCAGTGATCTCGAACGAATAAGAAAATCATTCACAATCCATCAGTGCTTCATCAATTTGCTTTTGTAAAGTATATTGGCCGTGGCACAGATGATGCTCAGTTTGAACTGTTGGTACACCAACTCCAGATTCCTGGCATGCCATGTCTTTGATTGAAGCGAATCTGCTATTGATCTCGTTTTTGAACGAAGCACAAGTCTCTGGATCTTTCAATCTGCTAGTGACGAATCCTGGGTCCCCCCTTCCGCGTTATTCTTCGGAACGTATCCAGTGCTGGCAGAGTCTAGCGACCACCATAAAACGGTCCGAGTCAATGTCGGCTCCATCTCGTTTCTCAGTGACGTGAAGGGCGCAACGCCACTTCCTGTTTATCAATACGTGGTCCAGCTAGCTTTGAAGGGGTTATCTGACGGTGTTCATGTCAGCTGATGAATTTAACGGACGCCAGCTATCAGCAAAATGCTGTCAAGATTAATCTCTGTTCAACTCAGCATAGACAAATAACTGAGATGCATGATTTGTCCTTTATCAGATCTGTTTCTATCAGCGTAACTTGACGAGGCGCCAAAAAAATGATTTCTGTAATAAAATTTCTATGCGGAGTAATCACTAAGAAACAAAGACAACGCAATTGATCTCTCGTATAAACGAATGTTCAATTTTCAAATTTACCCATATTACCACAGTTTATCTTATATACGCATACACTGTAAATTAAATTATGAATAAGCAAAATTAGACAGAAAAACATAAAACAGTTTCAAACCTAAACAACGAACTGCTTCCTCTTGGACTAACCGTATTTTCTTCGATATTTTCGGTCGTTAGGTTTAATAGGCAGAGTTCGACTCAATTTATTCATGATTACAGCCGCGATTAAGTACTAAAGGAAGAGTAATCGGTCATTTAAGCTCTTCTAGAGTTTAATGGTATTTCAACAGCTGCTAAGAGTTAATACGTTCTCATTCTCTTACAGCATTCTTCACGGATATAATACTGCCATACTCATCGCTGCTGATTTCTATACACATTTCAGTCATTAATTAGTTCCAATATCAACTACCTCTCCTCTCAGTGAACACACTTGCTAAGCTGGCATTTTCTGACCTTAACCCACTGAAACCTCTTACGGCTTTCGCATAATCAGATCGCTTTCGAATTTCTCATGCCATGCATGACATTTTCGTCCTTTAGAGAAGTTATTTCCACCCCAGTACTCAGATTCAATTGACTAACAAAAGATGACTGTAAGACGAACGCATGAGCTACTATAGTGTGAGTAACAGACAGAATGTCACTGGCCCGCTTGT